GATCACATCCCTGGATGGCCACTATATATATTGGAAAGAATTTCTGTGCTGGAAGCCTCATCCGTTCTTGTTGGGTGGTGACATCTGCACATTGCTTTGCTAACAGGTAAGACCAATGCTTTGAAACAGCATTATTTTTTCTTTATGTGCTTCAGCTGGTACTTTTCCATCAAGCAAATGTTTCTGTGAGTCCCATGAGTGAAGACGGAGCTACATTTTAACCAAGGAATCCACATTTTCAGAACCTCTAGCCCAGGCATAAGTAATTTATTTTATTTGGCAGGCCATTGATCATGGGAACAGCAGATTATCCTCCTTTGCACTACAAATTGAGAGATGCATCATTATGTACATCTCCAATGATGTCTTCATTAAATTAGTCTACATATAAGTCCATATAGATTGAGTGAGAACCTTCCTTTTCTCTTGTTCTCTTCCATCCTCCCCCTCTAAAAAAATCCCCTCTCAACTTTGCATCTACTGGGTGGTTGGAGTTCCGGTCACCCAGCAAAAGGGTTTGATTCCTTTCATCTTAATGTAACAAGCACTATTTCTTATAAAAGTACATTTCTTTTAAAACATGCTTCAGAGCCTTTCTTTTCTGATGTCAACATTTAGGAGATTGCAATTTAGTTCAGATATATATATCTTTCTTTAGTGCTTAATTGTTCAATTGACAAAGTGCAACTCAGAACCCCAGACTCCTTACCATTTGCTATTTTCCTTATTCTTGCAGCATTAGTAGCAAGTAGAAATGAGTATTGAATGAAGATTGTTAACTGATCCTATTACCCAAGGGTTCAATATTTCCATTGTATGCTGATGCTGCCATGATGTTCCTCTGCTCAATTAGAAAGTAACCAGGTTTGCAAAAGAAGTTAACCCCCTGGGATTTTAATGGTGCACTGAAATCAAAATTCTTGTGTGCCTTTCAGAACAGAGTTGGAAGGGGCCAAGAAGGCTATTGATTCCAACCCGCTGCTGTTGCAGGACACCAAGTTACACCATCCCACTCAGATGGCTGTCCAGTTTCACCTTGAATGAACAGTGGTACCTCAACTCATGAACTTAATCTGTTCCAGGACTCTGGTCGTGACCTGAATTGGTTGCGAGCCAAGTCAAATTTCTCCATTAGGTTCAATGTAAATAAGGCTATTCCATTCTGTAAATATGTTTTTTATCAAAAAAAATTGAAACACAGTAACAAAGAATGACAAATAACAAAGTACAGTACAGCAGAGAACACTAACCGAGGTGGGAGGAAGGTTATTGTTTGGAGGGAGCGTCCAAACAATTATGTGATAGTGATTGTGCTTGGGAGGGAGGGGGGAGAAGACGGGCGTGATGGAGATCATGCTCACGCAAGGAAGACGGGCATGATCGTGCTGGGGGGGGGGGAGATGGGTGCAATGGCGATCGCGCTTGTGTGAGGAAGATGGGCACGATCACGATCATGTTCATGTGGCAATATGGCCGCGATCGTGGTCATCACCCAAACTTTTTCTGAAATTTCTGTTCATGACCCGATTTGGTTGAGAAGTGAGGCATTCATGAGCAGAGGTACCACTGTATCTAGTGCGGGAGATCCCACCACCTCTCTAGGCAGCTGGTTCCACTGTCATATTGCTCTGACAGTGAGGAAGCTTTTCCTGATGTCCAGCCTGAATCTGGGTTGTCACAACTTGAATTGATTACTCCATGTCCTACACTCTGGCATCAGCAAGAAGAGAACTTGACCTTCCTCTTTGTGGCAGCCTTTGAGGTACTTATACAGAGGTAGCATGTCCCCCCTCAGTCTTCTCTTCTCAAGGCTGAACATGTCCAGTTCTCTCAGTCTCTCTTCATAGGGCAGTGTTTCCAAACTCTGGATCATTTTTGTTGCTCTCCTCTGGACCTTTTCTAATTTTCCTGCATTTTTCTTAAATCTTGGTACCCAGAACTGAATTCCAGATGAAGTCTGACTAGTGAGGAGTATAGGGGAACTACTACTTCTCGTGATTTGGAAGTAATACTTCTATTAATGCATCCCAAAATATCATCTGCCCCTTTCTGAAGCTTCATTGCATTGTTGGCTCATATTTAGCCTGTTGTCCACAATTACTTCAAGGTCTTTTTCTTTATCAGTTCTGTTGTGCCATGTATTCCCCTTCTTGTATTTGATTTCTTTTTCCTCGGTGGAGGACTTGGCACTTGTCCTTGTTGAACCTCATTCTGTTGTTTTCAGCCCAATGTTCAAGTTCATCAGGATTGCCCTGGATTATCATTCTGTCTTCTATTGTGTTCACTATCCCACCCAGTTTTGTATGATCTGCAAATTTAATCAGCTTTCCTTGTACTTCCTCATCTAAACCATTGATAGAATGAACAGGCACAGCAGGGGTTTCATGCCACCTCCTATTTAGGGAGCAGGGAATACTCTGGTGGGATGTTGTAGGAACACTAAGATTTTTTCTGAGTTTCAAAAGGGCATTTAGCACTGGCCATGAGTTGGCTTTAAAAAAAAGTGCAAAGTACCTTTGTAGAAGAATCCTCAGGGGGGTTGGGTGTGCTGATGTGGCTCTAGGTTGCTCTCACTTTCCTGAGTCTGGACAACCCTCAGTTCTTATTCCCAGGGTTATTAGGAATCCACAATTGTTCCCTTGAAATTTATCCTGAGTTTTGGGGGCACAAGGCTTCTGATTTAAAGGGAGAAGCCTTCCTCCACACATGGGAGTTTCTCCAAATTTTGAAGTATCCCCACTACTAGCAGGAAGGGGGAGCCTTTCCCGGCTCTCCCCAAGTGTTGCTTTGGCATTTTGGAGTGTCTGGGGAAAATGGTCCCCCCAGACTAGCCCCCAGACCTTTCTTCCTCTTGTCAGGATGTCCCAGTTTAGCAGCTGTGCAAATGTACACTCAGATGTGCAGGGAGATGCATTTGTTAAGAACCTTAGCAGTTTCATTAGTGAAGAACACTCAGGAAACCCCTCTACAGAGACAGACCTTACGAGCAGAGCTGTCGGGTAGAGGCATGCTTGCCAGCTACAAGATTCCAGAACATATACAGAAGGTTTCATAGGTTTTGAGTCACATACGCAGGAGCAGGGCAGATGATGAGAAAATAATGGACACATAATGCATTCACAGCCCAAAACAATGTGAGAGATCTTCAGAGGGGCATGAGACAATGGTACAGCAAATATCAGTCATTACAGGGTATTGACATGACAGACAGGAATCATTTCAGGGCTTGGCTGTGAGTTTGAACATGCAAATGAAAGTGATTACAATATTGCTAGAAAAACTAGTCTGACAGTGTTATCAGCTTTACTGCTGTTAGCAGAAGAATAGACAGGATTAACTTTCCTTGTGAGCCCCATCCTACAGAGGCTTTTGCAACTAAATGTAGCAGCCACCTCAGATGAGTAAAGGAACAGTCAGCTAACAACACTTCAGGGAACAAACAGGAGCTCGGCATTGAAATTCTGATTTTTTGATTCTCTGATTCTTTCAGACGAACAGGGATACTGCAGGTTTGATTTTACATCACAAAGGCACATACAAGCAACCTTTCTCTATAAAGATTTATTTGAATTTTTCCAACACTCTCTTACTAAGTGGCTCACTGCTTTTTTGACTTGACCATGACTTTTTGTTGTCTGAGTTTGCACAGTTCAATAAGCCATGGTGGGTTTATTAACCCTTTGTACAAGTCATGGATAGTTGGGGTGGCATATAAACCAAGCTGCAGGAAGAGTTCTGGGTTTGAGACAATATGCTAAACCAGCATGGCTCAGTGTGCTGCGTGCACCCAGTCACTGCCTTGTTTGGTCAGTATAAAACCATGTTCTTAATTTGCTCTTGTGTGAGTTGCACAACCCTCATGCTTCATTTGTTTAAAGTTTGATGATCTCTCATTGACAGATGAGTAAAGGGTATCATTGGCTGGGGTAGGGCAGTTCCTACCTAGCGAAGGGTCTCCTTCCATCACACATGCAGTGATTCTGTGATTCTTTCCCCATGTCTCAGGACAGAGCTTGCTTCCTCAAATTCTTCAGATCCCTTCAGTTCTCTGGGAATCCTGAGCATAGGACAATACTCTTCTCTTAGAATATTAACGACCTGATCCTGTTCAAGTAGCTCATGTTTCTGGGACATACTTTGTTTGCTTGTTTAACTTCTATACTACCCAATAGCCAAAGCTCTCTGGGCAGTTTACAATAATCCAACGCTTCTTCAATAAAAAACAGTTTACATTTCTTGATAATCTTTCAAACCCATCCAATGCTTGCCATAAAAATCAACAGAACAGGATACAGTCTGACTAACTTCTACAGTTTGGCTTCAATCTACATAAGGGTAGAGCTTCAGAAAACAACAGGATGCCTCCCCCACGTGTTTACCCACACCAAGAAAAAGCAAAACAGGCATCCACAACCTGTCTCCTGAACCCAGGTGTAGCAAGTCAGGAAGCCCTAAATGTTTGTCCCACATTAAGCCCAATGTTCCTGGCTTAATCAACAGGTTTCATTTTCACAAGGAAGATTGATGACACTCTCTGCAGGAAGTTGGCCTTCTCCAAGGCCTCACCAGCCTTCCTCTTGCTCAGCACTTTGTTAATGACAAGTTAAAAATTGGTAAGCTTTTCTCCAAGGCTTGTAACAAAAGGTTCTGATTTTTTTTGCAACTTCATTGATATGCATAAGTTTATTTACACAGAAATGGCTAAGGAAATAATGAATAAGAATAGAAGAATATACTTTTTACTTGTAAACAATTAGTAAATTAGTAATTAATTAGTAAATTAGTAAAACATACCACCACCAAGAAAAAAAAAACCCCTTCTCTTATTAAGAAGCACATAAGGAGAATCCTTTCATGGGCAGCTCTGTCCATGTTTATTGACATTCTGAGAACAGTGAGTTCAGTGAGATAAGACATGCCTTTGCAAAAGCCATTCTGATTCTTTTTCAGGAAAAGCTGTCTTTCTGTATCCTGTCAGATTTTCTTTTTTAATAATGCTTTAAAGGTTTTACACAGAATGAATGTTAAGCTAGTCAGACTGTGATGTCCTAGCTTCCTTTTTTAGATGGTTTTACTTACCCATTCTCTAGTTCTTGGGTATATAGGCTGATATTAGGGATACATTACATATTTTTAAAAGAAAGTTAGCAATGTCATGTTTGCATTATTTGAGAATTCTAGGATAGTTACCCTTTGGGGTAGATGATGTATTAACTTTTAGCTTATCAGTAAGGTTGAGAATTTTATACTTTGCCCCCATTATTGCCCTTAATTCCTCAGATTCTCTTCCTTAAAACATTAATTCCAACACTGGACAGTTTTATCTGTCCTATATCTTCTCCAGTGAAGATAATTCATTCTGCTTCTCCATAATGTCTCTATCCTCCTTAACTCCATTACTATCAAAGTACCATGACCAACTGCTTCTCTAGCTGGTTTCTTCTAATGTATTTAAAGACTTCTTTACTGTTGGTCTTGACATTGTTAGTGATATGCTCCTCAAAATGCTTTTTTGCATCTCTTATTGTTTGCTCGCATCTCCCTTGAGCATAGTCCCTTTTGTTTTCGCCACATAGGCAAGACTTCCTTTTTTCTCTCTCAAGGAAGCTATTATCTAATAGCTCCCTTGATGCTGCTTGTTGACCATGCTGCTGACTTCTTGTACATGCGTCTTTCTATTCTGTAGTATGCATGCTATCAGAGCTTTCAATATTGTGGTACTGACTGTATTTCTATACCACACAATGGCCAGTTGTATTCACAAGGGAACGTCACAGGCTGGGAGGGGGGTAGAATGGAGTGGGGTTCCCAGGGAGAGAGGAGCAATTGATCTCCCTTGTCCTCCATCTGGCTTCCTCTCTGCCTCAACACTGCTTGGCCTCCGTGCTGCTGTTTGGATTGTACCTCCGTCTCATATGGGAAGGGGCTGCTGACGTCCCTGTAGGGCACAGAGAGACTGGTTATAGGGTTGCCTCAAACTGACAAATTTCTTTTGTTTCTCCCAGTGACAAAGTAGCACATTTGAGTCCACTGTCTTCTGAAATGGAAGGGCAAGGCAAAAGACTTTTGAGCCAGAATGAATCAGGACAGCATTCAAGTACAAAGAGAGCTTCCCCGCCTGCTGGATACATGAACAGTGGCAGCATGTCAGCACTATGAAGGGACTGCCATGGGGAAAGCTGTGCTTTTTAATAGTCTGCCAGTTAGGCAGCTTATTTAGTTACAAAGCCCCTTTAAAGGAGGAAAGAGGAAAAGGTGGGCAGAACCCTATTAGCTTAGGTGAGAAGTACAACTCTGTGGGCTTGCAGTGGGAGGAGCAGCCCATCTCCTCTAGCTATTATTTCTTTATTTAAGTACCCTGCCTGTGTTTCAGCCTAAACCTGCTCAACTCTGGTTTCACTTTAAGGAAAATGTTCAGTTCAGGAGGTCAATGGGACTGCTCCTAGAAAGCAAACACATTCCTCTTGGGTGGAAGCTACATGCATGCAAGCACACACCACAGTTTTTTATTCCATTTACATCACTGATGAGGGAGATATGTAGATTTAGACTGTCTCTTGGCATGGAGGCAGGTATATATCAGCCCACAGTCTTAGCAGCTGAGGGCTGTAGAAAAGAAAAACTGTTTCAAAGGTGGCAAAATACCCATCCCTTCTATGTTGAGCTTTGAGAAGTTACAAAACAATTTGTCTTCTTTGTAGTTTTACAGAATGCAAAATGAAAGGAGAGGTTTTTTCAGGTATAAGTTCCCTTAGTTCACTTAAGTCTATAACATAATGTATACTGAAGTCACAAGTTCAGATTCTTCTTGCACACTGATCTTAAGTCTGGAATGTGAGTCTGCAATACTCATATAGGTGCCTTCATGATATTTTAGGAGAACCAGATTATTGGTCTGCAGCTTTTTCAGGAGTCAGTCAAAAATATTTAAACCTTCTGCAATGGATGAAAATATTTCCCAGTGTGCCCAGTTAATACCTTTTCTATTTATTTATACTGGTATATTCCTTAAGGCTGATGTTTCTAGAATAGCTTTCTTACTGTGGCAAAGAACTACTGGGAAAAGGATGTCATTGGAGTCAATGAAATACAGGCAATCCCAACTCTGAATGAGTTCTCTTCCTGAGAATGTCTTTAAGTTTGAATTTATATGTAAGTCAGATCACATACAGTTGGCCCTTCACATTTGCAGGGATTTGGGGCTGAGGAGCCCTGTGAAAGTGGTAAAACCACAAATACCTTTAGCCTCTTCCCCAATTCACCAGTGCTGCCTCTTTGCACCAAGGAAATGCCAGAGAGATTTTCCTCTCCAGAGAGGTAGGACAAGAAGGCCTGCTTCAGAGGCTCTCCCTCTCTCCCACTTTGCTCCCCCCCCTTGACAATTTTCCACAGCAGGTCTTTAACTTGAATTTTTCAATTAATAGGCTTTACAGCAGTTTGTTCATAAGTATGCATTGTTCTTAACTCAGATGTTTGTAATCTGGGCACTACTTGTACTTGAAATGAAGGTCCCAGTTAGAGCTCTTGTAGTCTAACGTTAAACAGGTTTTTCCATGGCAACCCCTCAACATATCTGATTACAGCCTTATAACGAAGCCCCCAAAAGTTACTCCATTTGGGCTGGAGAAGGAGGGATGTTTTGCTTTAGTTTCCTTCATTTGTCTGTTCATTTGCACATCATGCCAACTCATGTTGACAAAAAACAGTGTGTTGGTTGTTGGATGATGATTGTGCTCATGGTAGGTTGTCCTCTGCCTTTTCCCTCAGTTCCCTGGGAACTTGGCAACTGAATTCACTTTGTCTTCTCTCACTGTCACAACCCTGAGCCATTTTTTACTTTCTGCTACACTTTTTCCCTCAAAAATGCCTTTAAAAATTTTTTATATGCTGTAGACAGAGTTCACAAGTATAGAGGTGCATACTGTCATGGATATAAAATGGGAACCTTCACCAGGACAACATCCTGGAGGTTTGTTGTTGTTGTTAGTCGCAAAGTCATGTCCAACCCATCGCAACCCCATGGACAACATTCCTCCAGGCCTTCCTGTCCTCCACCATCCCCTGGACTCCACTTAAGCTCACATCAACTGCTTCAGTGACTCCCTCTATCCACCTCATTCTCTGCCATCCCCTTCTTCTTTTGCTATCTATTGTTCCCAGCATTAGGCTCTTCTCCAGGGAGTCCTTCCTTCTCATTAGGTGGCCAAAGTATTTGAGTATCGTCTTCAGTATCTGGCCTTCTAAAGAGCAGTCAGGGTTGATCTCTTCTAGGACTGACCAGTTTGATCGCCTTGCAGTCCAAGAGACTCGCAGGAGTCTCCTCCAGCATCACAATTCAAAGGCCACAGTCCTTTGGTGCTCAGCCTTCCTTATGGTCCAGCTTTCACAGCCATACATTGCAACTGGGAAAACCATTGCCTTGACTATACGCACTTTTGTTGGCAGGGTGATGTCTCTGCTTTTTAGTATGCTGTCTAGATTTGCCACAGCTTTCCTCCCAAGGAGCAAGCAACTTTTAATTTCTTGGCTGCAGTCCCCATCCACAGTAATCTTGAAGCCCAGTAAAATAAAATCTGTCACTCCCTCCATTTCTTCCCCATCTATTTGCCAGGAAGTGAGAGGACCGGATGCCATGATCTTAGTTTTCTTAATGTTGAGTTTCAAGCCAACTTTTGCACTCTCCTCCTTCACCCACATCGAGAGGCTCTTTAGTTCCTCTTCACTTTCTGCCATGGGAGTGGTATCATCTGCATATCTGAGGTTGTTGATATTTCTCCCAGCAATCTTAATTCCAACTGGTGAAGGTACCTGCTGTCAAAGTGCAGCAGTTACCAGCCTTGGGGATTAACACAGACAGACTGCACTTTTCATTTATTTTTTACTATGCTTTGATGTGGCAGATGTCAAAAGGCAAGCTGTCAAATCCAAGCGAAGCTGAAAGTGATCTTTGCTTATTACAGGGGGAGGCACCTTATTTTTCCCCTTCACAGTAAAATCCTCAGAGTTTTGGGTGTTTCACTGGATTGGTGCCAATTGCACCAACTTTTCTACCCATTTCCATGAGTCTAGGTACTTGAGAAGATAGAAAAGTTTATCCAACCACCTTTTTACCAAAAATTTGTCTTTGCGTCTTTGCCAGCTGTTGAAATAATGTTTTGTTTTTTAAACAGGGAGTTAAGAAGGGCTAGACAGGGTAGTTTGCACAGGGAACCCTGTTTTGCTTGGATTTGACAGCTTATCTTTTGATGGCTTTCATGTAAGGACAAAGGGGGGAAATCCTTTGTGGAGTCTCTTAGGTCAATGCCCAGAGTTGGAAGTCATTTTAACAGCAGATACCCCTCAGAAGATTACTCAGATGAAGCTTTCCATTATAGAGCTATGAAAGTGCATTCCTCTCACAGTTATAATGTATTTTTCCCAAACAGTGCCTTGTAAGCAAAAATGGACTGTCCTGTGGGAAGTGATCTGGATTTGGATGACATAGGAATGCACCCTAGCTAGTTGCCCAAAATGAGTCATCATGTTATGTGGACCAGGTCATTATGTGGACATCCTGGTTACAAGTGATGACCAGGTGAATGGTATAATATAACAACATTGTGTTTTCCCCTTTTCTTCAGCCCACTAAAGTCAACTATTAGAGTTGTTTTGGGACAACATTTTTTTAATACGACAACAGATGTTACTCAAGAATTTGATGTAGAGAAGTACATTATGTTTCCTGACTATACAGTGTACAACCCAACTGAAAATGATATTGGTAAGCATGTTCCTTCTTCTATTTCAAGTAGGCAATTCCTCTTCTTCAGAAAGTTGCATCTTAAATAATGGGCGGGGGGATGAACCTGGGAACTACAGACCAGTGAGTCCGACATCAATCCTTGGAAAAATTCTGGAGCAAATAATTAAACAATCAGTCCGCAAACAGCTTGAAGTAAATTCAGTGATTAATAGAACCCAACATGGATTTATCAAAAATAAATGCTGTCAGACTAATTGAATCCCATTTTTTGACTGGGTTACCTCCCAAACAGACAGAGGGAACACGGTGGACATAATCTACCTTGAGTTTAGCAAAATTGGCTGCTATATTGTACACAAAGAGTGCTCATTACTGGCACCTTCTCAAACTGGATGGAGATAACTGGTGGGGTGCTGTAGAGTTCAGTCTGGGGCCTAGTGCTCTTCAGCATCTTTATTAATGATTTAGATGAGGAAGTATAAGGAAACATTATCAAATATGCAGATGATACAGAACTGAGTGGAATAGCAAACACCCTAGAAGACTGAATGAACCAGCAGGGCGATCTTCACGAACTTGAACACTGGGCTGAAAGCAACAGAATAAGATTCAACAAGGACAGGTGCCAAGTTCTCCACTCAGGAAGAAGAAACCAAAGGCATTGATATAAGATAGGGAATACGTGGCTCAACAGAACTGAAAAAGAAAAAGATCTCATAGTAATTGTAGACAATAGGCTAAATGTGAGCCAACAATGCAATGAAGCAAATGCTATTTTGGAATGTATTAATAGAAGTATTACTTCCAAATCATGAGAAGTAGTAGTTCCCCTATACTCCTCATGAGTCAGACCTCATCTGGAATACTGTGTCCAGTTCTGGGTACCAAGATTTAAGAAAAATGAAGAAAAATTAGAAAGGGTCTGGAGGAGAGCAACAAAAAAGATCCAGGGTTTGGAAAAACTGCCCTATGAAGAGAGACTGAGAGAAATGGGCATGTTCACCCTTGAGAAGAGAAGACTGAGGAGGCACATGCTATAAGTACCTCAAAGGCTGCCACAAAGAGGAAGGTCAAGTTTTCTTCTTGCTCATGCAAGAGTGTAGGACACGGAGTAATCAGTTCAAGTTGTGACAACCCAGATTCAGGCTGGACATCAGGAAAAGCTTCCTCATTTCCATCAGAGCAATACAACAGTGGAACCAGCTGCCTAGAGAGGTGTTGGCCCCTTCCACACTAGAGACATTCAAGGCAAAACTGGGCAGCCATCTGAGTGGGATGGTGTAACATGGTGTCCTGCAACAGTAGTTGGTTGGACCTTCATGGCCCTTCCAACCCTACTACTCTATAATTCTAAGTATAATGATACATTTCCATATGGAGTGTGGGTGAGAAAGGAGCAACAAGAAGAGAATGTCTTGCGCATTTCCTTGTCCACACATACATTAAGGAGTGAGGGTAGGAAGCTAAGTGCCACTAACATGCTGTGCAGCAATGCCATACAATGTTGTTAGGAGGTCTCCCCAAGGGTGTTTAGTGTGGAGATTTCCACCAACAGCAACAGGGCAGAGGGAGAGCTATAGGTATGATGCTGCAGTTGCGTCTGCACTGCCATTCTTCTTCTGATACCCTCATCACTACTCAGTTGCCTTTCCTACACAGAACTACTCCAAAGCAATTTCCTCTGCAACTCAGACAGCAGCGGATTACAGGGGAAGGACACTACCCATGTAGAGCCAGACCTTAAATCAGAGATGGAGAGCATGTGGCCCTCCAAATGTTGTTGGATCACGACCCCCATCATCCCTCACAATTGGCTATGCTGGCTAAGGTAGACTAGAGTTGCAGGTTAACAACATATTGAGGGCCACAGTTTCTTTGTCCCTGGCTTAATCATTCCTACCACCATGGGATATTGTAATGGAAAATTACTGCTGCTACTATACCATAGCAGCAGAAAAATTACTTTTCATGCTGCTACTATACCATAGACAGGAAAACCAAGTTAGGATAGTAAATGTAGATAGGCTGAAATTCAGCTTTCACCTAAATTTTGGGCCAGAGCACAATCTCTGCTTGGGACAGAAGCATTTCTAGAGATGACACCAGATTCCATGCAGGTTCCAGATCCAATCTGAAAAATATGCTGTATGAGAGCAATATCACAGCCTAAATTTCTCAAGCTGGACAAGGCCTCAGCTTGCCTACCCTAAGGGGTGCAGAGGATCCCAATCCATGCTAGGTCTCCTTTCATCTGCTCAGAAGCTTCAGGTGCAGTACATGGACAGTTTTTGCCACCTTCTCGGTACATCAGAGACCTAAAAATCTAGCTAAACCTTCACTCTGTTATGTGTAAACCAGACAGCACTATTCATCCTGAATGCTGCAGTCCGCTCTGGAGCTTTGGCAGATCAGAATGGGTTCATCCTGCTTTCTGCTTGGAGTTTTGAGGAAAGAATCTAATGGTTCCACCCATCCCTAACAATAAAAGGTGTAATTTGCTTGGAAAGAAACAGAAAATGTATCCCAAATCTTGGCTTCTTAGGGCTGGTCTAAATGCAGAATAATCACTTTCTGACTATAATATCCAGTGAAATACATACCCATTTAAGCATTCAAGCAGTCATTGTCTGTGATCCTTCTGTATGTGTTGAGGCTCTTTCCTCCACCTCAGCTGCAGACTAGCACCTGGCATTTCCATACGGTACAAAAGGTGCCCCCCCCCATATGCACACCTGAAGGTTCCTTTTAATTATTACTGTTTCATTGCAATACCTTTATATCTGCACCTTTTCCCTTTCAAGGAATCCAAAGAGGCATACAAGATTGTCTTCTCCATTTTATCTTCTCAGTGAAGTAGGTTAGGCTCAGAGTCAGTGACTGGCCCAAAGTCACCTAGTAAGCTTCATGGCAAAGTAAAGAATAGAGCCTGGATCTCCCAGATTCACATCCAGCACTCTTAGCCACTATGTTGCACGGGCTGTATATATTTATTTTTAACTGCCCAATAACCCAAGTTCTCTTAGCAGTGTTAAGATAATACCTTAACATAAAATGTCAACACTAAATGAGTAAATAAAAACACACAACAAAATCAAATCAAGCTAGCAGCAAATGCTAAAAATGCTCTGCCGCAGTGGTTTTCAAGCTTTTTACAGCTGGGAATCAGGGAAAATAGGAAAATTTTCAGGGACCACTAATGCAGAAATAATAGCATTATATACATGATACAGTATTTTGTGTATTAATGTTTAAATATAATACCAAAAATGTTAATTTTCTAAAATAACCAGAAACTAAGCAGGAAAAATGCTAATAAAAGAATAAAATATTGAAATTAAATGTAATCAAGTACAACTGAAATTTTTGGGGAGCAATATTTGATTCTAGTAAGGCTAGTGCAAAATCTGCTGTTGCTCCTTTTCAAGAATTCTTAATAGTCATGACTGCAATCTTGTTTCCGAGAGATGAAGTGCTGCACTGACATCCATTCTGTTTCTCTGCTTGGTTTTTATCAGTGACAGGGCTGAAAAACACTTTTCATGCAAATATGTGGTAGAAAATACGAGTAATAGCTCTGTCACTTAGAGATGGATATTCTTTTTCCAGCGATATTCAAAATTGTGACAATGATTGCATTTTATGTTTGGACACCAGAGTGACATCAGGGTTCTTTCCTGCTTCTTGCTAGGACCAGGTTCCCCAGGTGATGGCAGCAGTGCTGAGCGAGCGGGAAGAGCAGGCTGAGCATGAGCTGCTGCCCTTATTTGCAGCTCTGAGAAGGCTGCTGCTGCTGCCTCCCCGTCAGCGCACCATGCAAGTGGCCCCAAGCTGCCTGGCTCTGGTCTTTGTGCCGCCTAGAAGGAGCTATGATCAGCAGGAACGCCTGGAAGATGGCTGCGCCACTCGCCTTGTCAGGTGGAGTAAGACCAGAACCGGGCAGCTTGGGAACACTTGCACAGAGCGAAGGGGCAGCAGCAGCAGCGGCAGCAGTAATGGCATTCCCAGCACTGCATATAAGGGTAGCAGCTAACACTCAGCCCGTTCTTCCTGCTTGCTCAGGGCTGCTGCCATCACCTGGGGAACTGAGCTGATTGTATCAGGAGGAGGGAAAGAGCTGGCATGGATCTGTTCACCTGGCGATGGCGGCAGCGCTGAGCGAGCAGGAAGAGAGGGCTGCGCTCGAGTTGCTGCCCATATGCCGCTCCCCAGCAGCATCTTCTCAGGGCTTTTCCATTGACCGGCAGGAAATCTCCTGCATACTGGCACCAGTCCATGGACTGGCAGTCAAAAATCACTGGTCTAGCAGACAATGTGCTAAAAATGTCTTGACCTAAAAGCACTTAAATACAGGGTTAGAATGGGTGTGAGGTAAAAGCAATCCTTCTGAGGCAATGATGTGTGCACATAGAATAAGGCTGTAGAGGTATATTTTTAAGCCAATCTTTTCCACTGATTTTTGGAAGAAAATAAGAACCGGGTTCTTAGGCATTCAAAAGAAAGAGTTGGAATTCCTCCTTCACATGTCTTTTCTCCCATGCACCCCAACCATAACAAGCTGTATATCAGCTTGTATCAGCCCCTCACAACTTGAAGTTTTCACTTTCACAAATGAGAAACAGCAGCCTTATACTAGGCAATAATCTAGCACTGTTTATGCAGTCTCTCTCTCATAGTTAAAGAATCCCTGTTAAGAGAATGTTAAAGAAGTATTCAACATTGTGTCTCCCACTCCTTTCGTGTGTATTTATACCTGCTTTTTTTTCTTCTTTTGCAGTTTTAGTTAAGCTGAAGAAGGCCAAAAAACGTTGCGCAGTGAAGTCCCAGTTTGTTCGGCCAATCTGCCTACCAGAAAATGGAATGACCTTTCCAGATCATTACAAATGTCAAATTTCAGGATGGGGATACTTGCATGAAAGTAAGTTAGATGATGGTTTTTATGTGTACAAGTGAAACTGGTCAAAGACACCGGGGAGAGCTGCACTAGATCTCGGTTTATGAAGGAACTCAACCTCCATATTTATGAAAAATTATACACACACACACACACACACATGCTCCTCCTGCCCTTCACAAAAAATTATGAAGAAGGGGTGCTGCTCTTTGCCACTGTCCATCCACCCCCACAGGGTGAAGTTAGCACCCTCTCCACCAAAAAGCAAACAAATTCAGGCCCTCTTCTCATGCTGACTTTTCTTCAAGTAAACTCCACTGAAGTCAGTGTGGTTTACTTTTGAGTTGACATGCATTTTAGCTGGTTGTTTCTTGAGCATGTGGAGAAAGGAGACACTCAGAAAAGCTTGAAAATACATTACAATTGTTATTTGTTAAAGTGGGGAGAAGGAGAAATAGCATTGTGTTTGTAAATCATAGAGAGAGGGATAAAGACCCCTTCTACTGCTGTTTTGCCAAATCTAACTTTTCCACTGGCCTCCTGACGCTACTCCTTCTAGCCTGTGAGCAGTATTGCAAATTTAGCACACACTGATAATATATTATTGTTATATGCCATCAGCTTGTCTCTGATATATGGCAACTCTATGAATGAAAGCCCTCCAAAATTACAGCCCTGTTCAGCTGTTCTAAACTCAAGGCTGCGGCTTCCTTTATGGATTCAGTCCATTTCATTTTCTTCTTATGCCTTGCACTTTCCATACTATGCTTGAGGAAAATGCAACGTATTAAAAAGTCATCATGTAAACATAGAAACAGAACGAGTCAGAAGGGGCCTCCTAGGCCATCTAGTCTGACTTCCGGCACCAGCCAGCTCCGCTCACGACATGCCCACCATGTGCACATCCAGCCTATCCAGCACCGATGGGGCCTCAACAACCTCTTGTGGAAGCCCATTCCACACCCTAGGGGTCCTAACTGTCAGGAAATGCTTCCTGGCATCCAAATGGAACCTTGGCTCCCTGAGCTTTGCTCCGTTGGAGCACATCCTGCCTTCCTCTGCAGGGGAGAACAGGTCTCTACCCATCTCCAGGTGACATCCCCTCACATACCTCTATGTCGCCAACATATCCCCTCTGAGTCTCCTCTTCTCCAGGCTGAAGAGACCCAGTATTTGTCTATTTGCCCCAGTACCCATTTCCTACAGAGGTGCCTCTTTCATCTAATCCCTCTAACCGCCTCCTTTCGCATCCATGGCGGCACTCTCCTCCGCCTCCCCACCTTACTGACTAGAGGTATCGTCAAGGCTTGCGCCTCCAAAACCTCCCTTTTGAGTGCCATCCACCCCTTCTCAACTCGCTTACCCTCCAGTAACCTGTCCCAGGAGACTTTCGCCAGTCTGGCCTTCAGTTGGCCAAAGTTGGCCCTCTTGAAGTCCCAGCTTCTAGTGCTCGACCTGCTGCACATCCCCAGTCCCCTGATCTTAAAGCAAAGGATGGAGTGATCACTCGCATCCAGAGCTCCCCTAATCTGCATTCATCTATCAGCTGCTCCCTATTGGTCAAGACCAAGGATGTCCCCCCCTCCCCGTCACCTCTCGGACCCTCTGTGTGAAAAACCCTCCCTCTATAGCTTCTAGGAAGCAACGTGACCTGGCTGTCACCGCCGAGTGAGTCTCCCAACTAAGATCCAGGAGATTGAAATCCCCCATAATTACTGTGTCTCTCCCCAGAGATATCCTTAGAACCTGGCCTGTCAGGACATCATCCAGGGTCTCAAGATGATCTGGAGAGCGATAACATACCCCCACTGTCAGGTCCCTTTCCCTCTCAAAACCCCTAAGTTTCACCCAGACTGCCTCTACTGAATCCCCATATGTGCTGCATTCTATCTCACTGCATCCTATCCCTTCCCTGACGTATAAAGCCATGCCCCCACCTCTCTTTCCCTTCCTGTCCTTTCTAAAAAGGTGATACCCTTCTATGTTCGCATTCCAGACTTGCCTTTCATCCCGCCAAGTTTCTGTGATTCCCACCAGGTCATACCCTCCTATTCCCAGGAGAGCTTCAAGCTCTTCCTGCTTATTACCCATGCTCCTAGCATTGGTGTACATGCACCTCAACTCCTTCCCACCGCTTCCTTTCCTTGGAGTTCCCAGCCTCCTCCCATCCTCCCTGATACCTGGCCCCTCTCTGTAGGAGTTCTGTCAGTCCCTGCAGTACCTCTAAAACCCTGCTCCCAGAGACCTGATCCTCTCCCCACACTTGTCCAGTGCAGACATGTTTCTGGGGGGCCTGATCCCCCCTCCCAACTCAGTTTAAAGTCTTCTGGATGAAGCTCACTAGAGCATCTCCAAAGGACCTTTTCCCCATCCACGTGAGGTGTAACCCGTCCCTTGCCAGAAGTCCATTGGCAAGAAACTGAGTGCTGTGGTCGAGGAACCCGCAGCGTTCCTCCTGGCACCACACCCTAAGCCAGTCGTTCACCTTGGACACCCTCCTGTCCCTTCCTGGCCCAAATCCCCGGACCGGTAAGATCGATGAGAAGGCCACTTGGGCCTTTAGCTCCGAGTTTTTTCTCCAAGGCCTCGAAGTCCCTGGTGATCCCGACCGCACCCTGTCTAGCCACGTCATTTGTGCCCACATGGATCACCAGGAGTGTCTGGTGACCCACGGAGCGAACAAGATGCTCCACTCTGTCCTTCACATGCCGGATGCGTGCGCCCGGCAGGCAGCAAACCTTCCTTGTCTCCAGGTTGGGGCGGCACACCACCACCTCAGTGCCCCTCAGCAGGGAGTCCCCAACAACAATAACCTGCCGCTGTACCTTCCCGGTGCTGGTGGGTGGCCGTGCCCTGGCCCTCGCCTCTCCTGCAGCTGCCCCCTTGCCGCCTGACGTCCCAGGCTGGGGGTCCTGCTGGTCCCCAGAGGCCTCATCAGCCCCAGCGTCCCCAAGTGGAGAGAACCTGTTTCCCAGCTCCAGATTGGTGCCAGGAGAAGGAGGAGGCCGTGCTGACCTCCTCCTCCTCTGGGTGACATGCCTCCATGTCTCTGCAGCTGCTCCTCCCATGGCCTCCCCCTCAACCCTCTGTCCAGAGGGGGGCTGCTCCGGGGGGGCCTGGAGAGCTCTCTCGGCCCTCAGGCACCTCACCACCTCTTCTAGCAGGGTCACCAGCGTGCACTGAGAGCAAGTGTATCCCTGCCTCTCCTGGGGAGAAGGACGAACATGTCACAGCTCTCGTAGCGGACAGCAACACCTGTGACTCCTGGTCTGGCATCGGTATCCCTTGCGAGAACATACCTTGGTCCCCTGCCTTGTCTGTCCTGCAGTTCCTCTCACTTGCCCAGTTCTCCCAGACAGAAACCCACTCACACACAAACTTTTTAACCTGAAGAAATCCAGGATATAATAGCAGAAATAGGCAACAACATGTTAGGGCAAGGGTCATGTGACATGCACATACTCATCCCCCTTCATTTATTTATTACATACATTTATACCCCGTCCTATCACTTCAAGTGCTCAATCAGTGTTTTATTTTAATCTCCTTTATAGATGTATCACCTGGTTTTTGTCAAAGGTACTTCTAGCGTGATGCACATTTTTTGTCCTTAGAACTACATTTTAAAATACAATGTGATTTTTACAATAAGGGTGGGGCATATATTCATTTAGTTGACAATTTAATATGAACTGATTTACTTTTCCATTCTAAAATGAATAAATTAATTTGGCCACAGTTATCTGTTGATTTTTGCTCTTCTCCAAATATTGTAATTCTATTCTCAGTTTAAAAAAAGAAAATGCATGTAAAATGCATAATTAGGAAAATTTGAGTGAAAATCAGGGGGAAGTGTAAAAAGATAATTATTAGGAATAATTATCTGAAAAATGTGTGTGTTGGGGAAATTGTATACAAAAAAATGTGTATCCATTTTCCTTTTCACATTCATGAAAATGCATATTGATTTTTACGTTTCTAAAAATGTTGCAAACTATTATTTTTTTCCAATTTTTTCCAATAAGTGTATTGTTGTAACCATAGGTCATAACATAATATAAAAGTGCCATAAAATGTCATAAAATAGTACTAATAAAACAATGAGATAGTAAGATTATATAATAAAATAATAAAAGTTTGAAATAAAAGATTACAACAAAGTAGGGCCAATGCTACAACTAAAAACTTTAAAAAAAGTCTTTCTGAGTTTAAAGGCAAAGATGGCAACTTGATTTAAGAACAGTTAAGAACATTTCTGAAAGAAGGTTGATTAGTTTTTCAAGATCTAAGCCCTTAAGTGCTTCTACCTTTAATAATTTGGGTCCTGATCTCATTGTAAATGGGGCAGTGGAGGATGTAATGAACAATGTCCTCCGCTTGACCAACACCACAAGGGCAGAGGCGTTGCTCAACAGGGAGCTTACTATCTCCCTTCAAGATATGCAGGGGCCATTGTCTGCAGGCACAAAGGTGTTAAAGTCTTTCTCAATGGGGCACTGGTCATGTTAGCCAGATATTAGGAAAAGCTCTGAGAACCTCCCCTAAAGAAGGTTAAAAGGACATCATCTACTCAGAACAGGGCCTTCTCTGTGCTGGTGCCCAGGTTATGGAATACGCTCCCCCAAGGAGGTTTGCCTGGCACCAAGCCTATATTCCTTTCGGCGCCAGGTTAAAACCTTTTTATTCAATCATTATTTTAAAAATTAGCATTTTTATTAATTCACAGTTGCTTTTGTTTTGTTTTATTCTGATTTGATTTATTTGTATTGTGCTTTTTGTAATTTTATTGTATGGTTTTATTAATTGTTTTTATGATTATTGGTTTTAATCTTGTTAGCCGTCCAGAGACGCGATAGTGAAGGATGGCATACAAATGTTTTAAATAAATAAATATTTGTTGAGCATTAATTGTCCATCTATGTTTGGTGTTACTTTTGCCAATGATGACTATCTTTGTTTTACTATAATTAATCTTTAGTTTTTCCTTTTCACAGTAAGCAGCTAATCTGGCCAGTAATCTTTTA